ATGTGACTTCCAGTTTGTATTTAGAAGTTCATACACAGTTAATTGGGGCCTCCTGCCCCTAAGCTATCTGGTCTTGAATTTCATTATCTAACAGTGTGAATTTATAGGTCTACAATGTTTTCAAATTAAAGCCTAATTAAATTAACAGGTTGTATTTTTTTAAATCAGAATCACCACTGAAATTGTATTTTTCAACAAATGTTTGTTTTAATTAATATAAACATTATAATAGTGTAGTTGAGATTATGGGATGATCTCAAATTATTCTTAATTACCGACTATTGAGACCTTAGCAAATAATTGCTTTTGGAAAGAGGACCAAACTAGTAATTTGGCCAAAATGCATATTGCAAAAAAGGAAATGTTATTGCTTTTGGAAAGTTGTTTTATTCAATAACAGGTTTCTTTTTATATAATATGCATTTCAGCCAAATAATTACTTTGGTCCTCTTTCCAAAAGTAATCATTCACTAAGGTCTCAATGGTCATTAATTACGAATAATTTGAGATCATCCCATATTCTCAACCATACTATTATAGTTCTTATATCAATTAATACAAAAAAATCACCCTTCATTTTTTCACAATAATAATTGTTATTGGTAACCATCACTTATTTAATGTTTGTTCCTTTATTTTGATTTAGAATATTTACTTGTCTATTACATAATTCTCAGAATTACAGTGAGTACATAACCAATAATACATACAGAAAACTCTTCTGTGAAATTAAACTTCTTATACATACATAATTTTAATTACACAAATGGATTTTAGTGATATTGTCAATCAGTGTGCTGATAATGATTACAGTAGAACCTCGAAAACTCGGCCTAATGTGGACCGAAGGGTGGCCGAGTTTGTGAAAATGCCGGGTTATCGGGAATGGTGTTAAAAAAAATAAGTACGAGTGTTTCCTCAGAAAATACTGTACTGTACTTGTATGTATTGTTTACTTGAGAATATAACAGAGAATAAACTGCCCAAATACCCTTAAACAAAGGAAAAGTACGTCCTTTATGAAGGCATAGAGCCTTTACTACATGAAAATGAAAATTAATGAATACACTGTGTACAGTAATTTACCTGATAAGACAGACCTCAGAAAAATACTTTATGAGAGTTTATACCTTTATAAAGCTGTCTGTAATGAAAATTAATTAACTAAGGATTTTTTTGCCCGGCCAGGGTGTGGCCGAGTTATCCGGAGTGCCGGGTTATCGAGAGCCGAGTTTTCGAGGTTCTACTGTACTAACATCAGTCTTAACCAGTACTTTTTAAGAATTAATTGCCAATTGTTTTAATTCTTATTTGCTTACAATACAGTAGTTTGAATTGCTGGAATTTCTTACTTCAATTATTCACATGACAAATTACTATTAATAAAAACTGTATAACTTCAAGATATCATACTGACAAAATATTCTTTATAGTTAAATTATTATGTTTGAATATATCAGTTGTTCCAAGTAGAATAGCAGATTTGTAAGTTTAAACTGATGCAAGCTCAATAGAGCTAAAAACCTTTTTCAAATAATCATTAGTATCCAAAAGTAACAGTTATAATCTATTTAATTTATTAAATTGTTTTAACATGTCTTTTTAATTAATATCAGAGTCAATAAAACTAAAGTTCTTAGTAATTGTAGTTTTACTTATCCTGCTTAATGTTATCAGTTAGTCATTGTCATCAACATAGGCAAGTTTCAAAATTATTACAACAAACAGATTTTACTGTACAGTAGAGCATCTATTATCCAAATCAATTGGGTACTGGGGTTGGAAAATTGATTTTTCGAATAACCAATTATGTACGAAAAAATATATTAACCTATCCCACATTGAAATTTGTTCAAATCCTGGCAAGTCCTTAAGTACCCTCTAATGGTCACACCAGTGCTGCCAGCTAAAACATGCACACCAACAAAAATAATATTGGAATAGCCCAAGACATAGCCAAAGATTGCGGCACCACAGCACTAGTGAAAATTTAAATTTGCCAACTAGTAAACTTTCAGTTAATTGACATTTCAGTTGATTGATATTCAGATAATTGAACCTCTACTGTACTTGTTGAATTTTATAATTTTCTAAGTATCTAATCATAGTTTTAATTCTTTAAAAAGTATTTGAAACCTTTACAAATATGTAATAAACTGATACTTGATAAATACACATACAAGTTTTATTATTTTAATGAATATTATTGTAAAAGTAATTAAGTAAACTAAATTCAAATTAAAATCAAGTCCAAATTAACATCAAGAATAGTGAAAAACTGTACCATTTGCAATTATTCCAGACAAAATTTAGAAATTTCTAGTCCCAAAACTTTTTTCAAGATTAATGAAATTCTCATTTTAAAATTTAGGAAACAAAACAATCATTACTATAAATTTAAACAGAAATTTTAGTAGTAGAAAACTGTTTTAATTAAATTGTTCTATTACTTCATACATAAAATTTTTTTGAGTATTAACCAAACTCCAAACAGTATGAGAGCGAGTTGAATTTTTCTATACAAAATTTTATTTTTATGTTTTAGATTACAATGACATTACATTTCATTTTTGTGATATGTATATAAAATGAGACATACATTATTATTAATGTATAGGTCTCATTCTACTTTAACAATTCATATTTTATTTCTTAAATATACTACTTTAATTATTATCTTGAAAGAAACATGAAAAAAATATTTAAAGATTTACTCTATTTTTACACATCAAATATTTATAAACAATTTCAGAAAATAAATATATAGTGTAAAGGCATGAATTACAGTAAAAATTAGATAGATTAAAATCAAAATAAAAATCTAATAAATTTAAATTATTCAAATTAAAATATAATATGAAAAAGGAGTTTATATATTGAAATTAGCAGATTTATTACATGTAACAATTTACCTTGAATTCACTATATTAAAATAACATGTGAAACATGTATTTTCTCTAATCTGTTCAATTTCAGTGTATCATTATAACAATATTGCATTTTCCAATACAGTAGACCCCCTATAACACAGTAGATACATTCCATGTTATATGAATTCCGTGTTGTACAAGTCACTTAAATACATGAGCCAATCATAACCTGACACATGTACAGTTTAGGGGATATGGTTATTTGAAAGGGGATACTTCCATAAAATTAATCGATTCTAGACCAATTTGACTCAACATTTCCAAAACACGTATAATTTTTTGGGAATAATCCATATAAACTATGACATAAACAAAAAATTGTAGGATTACTTACTGAGTGTGCATCGTTCGATGACACATTGTTATTGCTTAAGCTTGTTTTCATCGCGGAGCAGTTCATCAAATGGCGGGCGCATATTTCCTAATAAGTTATTTTTCTGCAAAAAATTTGCTGAACTTTGGAGACATCATTAATATAAATATAATTTTTATGGCCATTAAATAATAAATGGTTATTAGTAGGTCCTCTGCTCGTTTAAACTCAACTGTCTGTACATCTGCTATTGGTCCAGATTTGACTAATCCTGTCATGACATGAGTTGGCAATGACATTTTACCATGTTATACGAGTCTCTTTTAGCATGTTATATGAACATGATCGCAAATTTTTCGTCATGTTATACGAATCCATGTTATATGAACCTGTGTTACAGGACGGTCTACTGTACATATTAAAAATATAAAATATGAAAGATTTTGCATTTATAGAATATTCCTAATGAAATAATGAGCATATTATTGTATGTCTTTATGCTAAGATATAATGAATTAAGTATTTTAAAGTATTTTGAGCCATATTGCTGCAATTTATATTAATTTCATTTATAAAAAAATATACCTTTTTCTTATCATCTTCAGGATATTTCCAGTATGCTAAATTATTTCCTTTCAGTATACACCAACGACGATGCCACGCTCCAAATCCACTCACGTCTTCAAACATTGTCTTAAAAAAATAAATTTAATACATTAGGTAAATAAAGTACAGATTTCATTAACTGTAAATTTTATAAAAATACCAAAAATCCTTTTTCTTCAATTCTATGCTCAGCATGTAACTGAACTTTCATATAAACAACACCTTCTAATGGTGATTGATAAGGAACCTACAAAAGAAATTTTTATTAAACTGATTATTTTTTTACATAATTTAAAATACTGTATTTAAATGTAATTTAATAATATTTTAGCATACTTTTTCTAGAGTATATGAACTTTTATTGCAATTTGTAAGGCACAAACGAGTGAAACCAATTAATGCAAAACTGGGAGTTCTCACAGCATTTGGACCACCAGGACTTGTTATGGCTATAAGAAACAAACAACATTGAACTCATAAAAATAAACTTTTACAGTCAATAAATTAAACTTTTAAGAACTGATCTATAAGATATGCATCAATAATATAAAACAAATTTATTTAAAGAAAGTATTTTTATCTCATTACAGTTTACATTTAATGCATCTTCATTCATTTACAAAAGTTTAAATANATTAATATAATAGTGAGAGGGCCGAGCTTGGTGTAATGACACTAATTTTTTGATACTTGGTGCCATATTTGTCATCAGTGATCTTAAATTGCCACTATTGACAATCTGTTTCTTTTTTTTATTAGTAAATTGCTGACTATGCTAAATCCTCTTTCAACTAAATATGATGGGAATGCAATGAAAACCTCCATAAAGCTGGATATAATACTGGAATTTGCTTCTGAAGCCAAAATTCTTAAAATTGAAATTAAAAAATGAATGTAAACTATTTGTTGACAATTCTATCAACTCCCCCTGCAGTGATAAATCTGCTGTTTGTAGGTTTGAGAAAAGTTCTAGTACCCAATCTGGAATGGTCATGTTAAGGACATCCTGAAATTTATTTTAAGTGCTTCCAAATGCTGACAAAATACCAGAATGTTGTCATCATTTGTTTCCACAGAAGAAAGATTCGGAAACTGATAAAATTTGGGTCAAAGAATTCTATTTGTACAAGGCAAGTTTTGACATGAAAGCAGATATAGATGTCTTTGCATTGATCAAATTCAAATCATTTCCTTGCAGCCATAGATTTGTTTCATTAAATTTATTATATAAATCAGTTAAATAAGCTATATCGTTCTTAAATTCCAATAAATTCTCTCTTAACAAATCATCTTTGTTTTCAAAAAACATCAAAGATGTCATAAAATCTTTTAGACAAGTACCCTTTGATAGCCAACAAACTTCTGTGTGCAGTAAATGATTGTGATCAAAACGATGAAAGTTTCAAAGTTTTCGAAACAATCTATCATTGAAAGCATTACTTCTGATCTTGTTAACTGCTGTAATTACATACAGTAGTGAGCAATGAAGGCAATCACTAAGGTTTTTTGCAACCAAATGTTGTCTGTGAATTATACAATGCACAGTGACTACATTTGGTACCACCTTTTTCAAATATGAAATCAACCCACGGTACTGTCCAACCATTGTTGAAACACCAAAATAGTGTTCCAATATGTCAAATATAGATTTTCCTTTAGTATCCATATCTAATTTTTTTTGCAAATAATAGTTCTTGACAAATTTTTTCATATTTTATGAAGTGACCATATGCAAGAAGTAAAGACTCATTGTTTGGTAAAGTAAATTCATCGAGCTGTAAAGAAAACTGTAGTCTTCAAAAAAATCAGTTAGAGAACTCTCCACATCCCTTGGACATTTTGTCAATTTCATTTCTGTACTGTATTATTTCTTAATAATATTAGACAGTGGCTTTTGCATTACAGTACGCAGAACCTCATTCACAGCTGGCAGTATCAATTCTTCTCTAATGGTGTGCAGTTTTCCCAATTTAGTAATAATCAAGGAAATGTTGTAAGAGGCATGTAACCCATCATCTTGTATCAATGCTGCTGAAAACATACTAGCTAAAGTTGGACGTCATGAATGTTGTTCTTTGAGCATTTGAAAGTAAGATAAATTTTTATCTTTTGTCAGTATGTATTTTGATGAAATCTTCTAATTGTGAAGGTTTCATGACTTCATTTGAGAAAACTTTCTGGCAAATTGGGCTCATTGATGATCTCTTGTTTAAAGATAAAAACCATATTTCAATTATTCAACATTATACTGTCTACATTTTTTCTTTGAATCTGACATGGGTCTATCTGTAAAAATAAAAACAATTAAAAAAATCTGCTGTGGCCACCACAGGACCAACCTTCACCATACTAAATAAATTTTAAATTTAAATTTATGCAAGTTGTTTTATGAATATTTTATAACAGATTTTTTTTGTAAAAAATTATTTAAATTTATGTAAATTTAAATTTTAAAAGATAGTTTTAAATTACGTTGCTAACACTGTTGGCAAAAAGAATAATAAACAAATAATAACAGTAAATATGTACATACTTACCTCTGTGGCAAATAGTTATTACAACAAAAATATATTTTTAATAAGTGGTCCACGTAAGTTATCCTCTGAATGTTATCTGTAGATACTGCACAGAAATTTTAGGTTCACACTTGCTCTGAAAGAACTTTGAAACAAACCTTTGTGGATAAAAAGCCTCACATATTTATAGTAATGTTTAATTAATGAACCTGTCAAAAAAACATGCATAGATTCAACATTCTGCACATACATTAATCTTGTCATGGCCTGTGCAAACTTGTAAATATAAGCTTTGTTGATCGAGCTGAAAATATACACACACACTGTTGTGCTGTGCAGTGCACCGTACACCATACAAACTTTTTTGACTTGTTTGTGTACTAGTCAAAAAAGTATTAGGAACAAAGCTATAATGTACCAATAGCTACTTTTAATATGAACTGGTCTTGCTTAAAAGACATTTAGAACTATTTATTGAAACATGTGTTTGATGATTTTTAGTATTAATCAAACTTTTCAGTGCATTCTTGCAAGTATTGTCCAGGAAAGTGGCAGTTAATCCTCAACACCACCTAAATTTACCTTGGACCAAAAAAGCCCCTTAGATCTCTTCAATGCCCACCAGTAGGTGGTACCAACCCCATTGGGAAACACTAGTTTAAAGGATACTGCTAGATTTTCCATTTAAATAAAGAATTTTATATGCAACACTCTAAACTCAAGCTATAAAATTGATACACATTACTATATAATAAATTTGATTGCAATAAGTACAAAGTATTATTATTAAGGATGATTATAACCTCTTTGGTTATGCATGTGATCTCCAGCAGTTAGCACTTAAAAATATAATGCTTTTTATGGGAAAATTTCTTTCCAAAAATTGTCAAACAAAATCAGATAATATTTTAATACATAAAACTGTTTAAAATGTTATGTTCTTGTATAACACAATAGAAATTTTTCTCATCATCTTGTGTAAATATTTTAGTAATTCACTCCCTTTTGTCATCTTTTTTAAAGTTAAGTTTTCAATAAGAATTTGTTTTAAATGCACTTTTAATTCTTCTTTTGTTCAAATCTGCCAATTTTCTATAAATTATCATTCACAATAATGAAAATATATTTCAAGATTTAATCTTTTTGCAGATATTGAATCACATTTTTATCAGAATTATCTTTAAAAAAATAAAGTGTGGAGAATAATAAAATTATTTGTAATAAATATTATATAATTCTCATATAGTATGTTAATGTACTCACTTGCATCAAAGAATTTATTTACAGAAGAAATTTTATATTTATGGCTTGTTTTAATACCTAAACAAATTTTATTAAATTCAAACAAAGAATTATCAAAATGGGGTGCATAATTATGTCATTTATAAGTAATTAGTTCATTTACAAAATATAATATATGCTGTAATTCAAAAAATACTGTTGTTCATTTTAAATATGGTTTATAAATTCAATTACTATATTTTTAATTATTTTGATTTAATAAAATCTACAAACTATATACATATTAAGCTTTTTAACCCTTATTAACAGCTTATAAAAGCCTATTACTGATCAACAGCAATAATGTTAAATCATCAAAGTAAAACTATTTAAAATTAAACATTTAATATGCCTCACGACATTCAAACATAATATAGCAACAAGTTGGAAAAATTTTTGTTGGCATTACGGTCAAAGTTTATGCAGAGCGATAGGCAAGCATCAGTCTGAAATTTTATTGGGCGATTTCTATCGGACGGAGTGCTTCGGGATCCCACTTGCGGATGCTACTTAACACTTCATTCAGGCGATTGCACCACAGGATACGTTCCTCCTTAGTGTCAGCAGAAAGAAGATGTCTGGAAAAGAAAATGGCATTAATAGTTAAGTACTTATATTTTTAAAGAAATGGGAGTTTCTACATACTTGGTTGTAGTGATTGTATTGACACTCTGCGAGATGAGTGTGTCTCTGTCATCCTTCTCTTTTGGTCTCATTGATATTAATTGAAAAGTATGAGGTCTGGCACAAATATCTCTTGATACTAATTTTACGAGAGGTGTAACACAGTGGCGAAGGTCAATTGTTCCTATTGGATCCTATAATATCAAAAAGATTATTAAAAAAACTTTTTTTATAAACATTTGAAATAAAGAACTTATCCTAAAGATTTTCAAATGAAACCAAATTAATATGTAGAAAAATGGATGTAAACAAAATTAAATAATTTAACAATCAATATATTATACAGCTTTTTTAGAAATAAATATTTTAAAATGATAAGAAAGAATTTACAGCATAACATTAAAAACAAAATAATTAAATAATTTTTAGCCAATATTTTGTAGCTAGTTTTCTAATGAATCTTTGAAGAAACTTAAAAAGTTTATTCAAATGAAAAATATTGAAAGAAATTATATTACAGTAAAACCTCAATTTAACAGAAAATTTTCAGGCTATTTGTCATATGTGAATATTAACATCATGTTAATTTTCAAATGCTTTTTATATGTAACGAGTAATTATTTGGACCATTTATTTTGAAAGTGGTGTAAGTCCATTTTTTCTTCTTTCGAGATATTTAAACATTTGCATTTTAGTTGATTCAAAAATATAAACAAAGTGTACTAAGTTTGACAATGTTTCTATGACTTTAGAAATATGTAAGTTGATTGCATAAAGACTTCTATGTGAATTTATCCAAACTAATATATTCTTTCTGGGCCATAAATGGACTTACACCACTTTCATAATTACTAAACTGTAAAATTCATTAAATTTCTATTATGTAAAACTCAATGTCACTTGAAACACATTGCGTTTTATTCTGATTTTGTTCATATATAATAACAAGAAATAAAATAGTATTGTTTATTCTGAACATTAAAAATATTTACTTATTGTTAAACTATTTTATGATAAATTTATCATTATTATGAGCTTACCATTAGACACTGCTTTTCATTTAGATTCATTACATGGATTTTTTTCTAGTC